TTAATTTCTTTCTTTCTTTATTTCTTGACCCAGGAGTTGTACAATTGTGTGTTGTTCAATTTCCATGGGTTGGTAGGTTTCTGCAATTTGTGTTGTTCTTGAATTCTAACTTTAAAGCATGGTGGTCTGATAAGACACAGGGGGTTATTCCAATTTTTTTTGTACCTGTTGAGGTTTGCTATGTTGCTGAGTATGTCACTGATTTTAGAGAAGGTTCCATGTGATGCTGAAAAGAAGGTATATTCTTTTGTGTTTGTATGGAAAGTTCTATAGATGTGTGTTAATCCCAATTGGGTCATAACTTCTGTTAGTTCCTTTGTCTCTTTGTTAAGTTTCTGTCTGGTGGTCCTGTCCAGTGGTGAGAGTGGGGTGTTGAAGTCTCCCATTGTAACTGTGTGAGGTCTTATTTGTGATTTGCATTTTAATAATGTTTCTTTTATGAACGTTGGTGTCTTTGTATTTGGGGCATAGATGTTTAGAATTGAGATTTCTTCCTGGTGGATTTTTCCTGTGATAAATATGAAATGACTTTCTTCATCTCTTATGATTGATTTTAGTTTGAAGTCTAATTTGTTAGATACTAGGAGAGCTACCCCAGCTTGTTTCTAGGGTCCATTTGATTGGAATATCTTATCCCAACCCTTTTCTCTGTGGTAATGTCTGTTTTTGGAGTTGAGTTTCTTTTAGTCAGCAGAAGGATGGATTCTGTCTTCATATCCATTCTGTTAGCCTGTGTCTTTTTACAGGCGAGTTAAGACTATTAATATTGAGGGAAATTAAGGACCATTGAGTGCTTATTCTTGTTTGTTTTTGATTTGTTGTTGGTAGTGGTATCGTGTATGGATTTATCCTGATTTTTCTTTTGGCTTTTGGTAAAGTGGGATTATCTATTGCCTATGTTTTGCTAGTGTAGTTAACTTCCTTAGGTTCGAGTTTTCCTTCCAGTATTTTCTGTAGGGCTGGGTTAGTGGTTACATATTGTTTGAATTTGGGTTTCTCATGGAATATCTTGTTTTCTCCATCTATAGTGATAGAAAGCTTTGCTGGGTATAGTAGTCTGGGTTGGCATCCATGTTCTCTTAGAGTTGGTAGAATATCTATCCAGGTCCTTCTGGCTTTCGGAGTTTTCATGGAGAAGTCTGGTGTAATTCTGATAGGTTTGCCTTTATATGTTACTTGGCCTTTTTCATTTGCTGCTCTTAATATTCTTTCTTTATTCTGTGTGTTTGGTGTTTTAATTATTATGTGACAAGGGGGCTTTCTTTTGTGGTCCACTCTATTTGGTGTTCTATAGGCTTCTTGTATTTTCATTGGCATGTCTTTCATTAGCTTGGGAAATTTTTCTTCTATGATTTTGATGAATATGTTTTCTGTACCTTTGAGTTGGGTTTCTTCACCTTCTTCTATATCTATTATCCTTAGGTTTGGTCTTTTCACGGTGTCCCATATTTCCTGGATATTTTGTGTTAAGGATTTGTTGGACTTAAAGATTTTCTTTGGTTGATGAATCTATTTCCTCTAGTTTATCTTAAGCGTCTGAGATTCTATCTTCCATCTCTTGTATTCTGTTTGTTTTACTTGCATCTGTGGTTCCTGGTTGTTTACTCAGCTTTTCTACTTCCAGCATTTCCTCAGTTTGTGTTTTCTTTATTGACTCTATTTCAGGTCTTGAACTGTTTCCTTCAGCTGTTTAATTGTATTTCCTTGGCTTTCCTTGATTTCTTGCATCTTTTGGCTTGTTTTTTCTTCCATTTCTCTAAAGGATTTTCTCATTTCCTCTCTTAGGGTCTCTATCATCTGCATGAAGTTATTTTGAAGGTTGCTCTCTTCTGCTTCATCTGTGTTGGGATGTTCAGGTCTTGCTGGTGTGGAGTCCCTAGACTCTGGTGGCATCATATTGGTTTTTCTGTTGTTGGATGTGTTCTTATATTGTGGTCTTCCCATCTCTTCTTCCAGTGGGTGCAGGTGGTGTCTCTTCCTTTCCTGGTGTGTACAGGTTCAAGGTTCTTTTCTGGTGGGTTCAAGAGGGTCTGATACTCTGATGGGTCTCAAGGTGGATTCAGGCAGGTCTGAGGCACTCGGTGTCCAGGTGAGTGGGAGCAGGACTAGCACAGAGATGTCAGCAGACTCAGGGTTTATTGGTCCTCAGGGGCCATGTCGACCTGTCTGCAGACCCCAGGATAGGAGTTCCCAGATTGGGCAGGTGGAAGGTGGGCCCACGGCAGGGCCTGAAGCAGCTCACCTCTGCCCTGAGTGGGGGCGGAAGTAGTCCAGCGATCTCAGCAGACTCAGGGTTTCTTGGTCTTCAGGGGCCAAGTTGACCTGCCTGCAGACCCCAGGACGGGATTTCACCCTCATCTCTATAGCTTGAGTCTGCCTTTGCTTTCTGAATCCTCAGGCAAGCTTTAATAAATCATAAACAATATATCACCACAATCTCATCTATTTTCCTAATGCTTGTCACTCTTTTAATACTTAAAGTTTTAAAAAGAATTAAAAAGAAAAAGCAAAGCAGACAACTACATCACTATTAATTACACTGCCTCATACATATAGATTACACTGCCTCATGATTAATGATGCATGTTGTCTTACTTCAAATAAGTTCACCATGGTCTATTTGTTGAATATAGTTTTTTAAGTCACAATCATATTCCTGTTTTAGATTGTATGTGTGTGTTGTATGTACATATATACATTGTAGGATAACTTCCACATCTAAGGGACAACTTGCATTTTTTCACTTTTCTGAATTTTTAAGTTACCAATTATATGTTTTTCTTTCCTTAAATTTTGTTAAATTTCAGTTAAAGCAAGGTGTTCTTTCATTCTATTGCCTAGGAATTTTCATTTAGCACTCAAAAATATAGACATTGACTATTCCCCATTTCTTTAATTATAGCCCCTCAGTAGTTGCAAGTTGAATTAACACAGTTATCAAACAAAACCAGGTGGAGTATCAAAGAATTGTTTTTCTAAATATTTCCTGTGTCCTTGAATTTGGTATGGAGGAATGTCATGGAGACAACTGAATGCTAGTACATTAACAAACTGAATAGTACCAGTGCTAGTGTAGTGACACATACCTTTAATCCAAGTACTCAGGAGACAGAGGCAGGAGGATTTCTGAGTTTGCAGTTAGCCTGGTCTACAGAGAAAGTTCCAGGCCAGCCAGGGCTACATAGGCAAAACAAAAAAGAAACAAACTGAACATTTGGAAGCCAAAGTTTTTTCAGAGTAAATAAACAAAATGGATACCTTAAACCAAATGCTCTGAAAGCAAACCATAAAAGGTACCCAGCAACTAGAATACTAAACAACCATCTCAGAATAAACCACTGGACCAAACCAAACCAGGTTTAGGTGAGAGCATCAGATAGAACTCACCAATCTCCACCTATAAGGCAGTGCCAGGCAATAGGCAGAAAAGGACCAATACTAGTACCTGGCTCTGATCTGGGTGACTTGTCCCATGAGGGTGGCTTAGTCTTGGGTTTCCATATTAAAGGCACCACAACTAATGATGCAACATTAGTTAGAGAAAGTGGGTGAGATCGAATATTCCAAAGCTCGATTAGAATGACTGTGATCCAGGAACACAGATTTATGTTATCCTAAACACACAGTTTCAGTATCGTGACATATAGACGGGTTGTAATGAATTAACCAGACCTGGTAGAATAATAGTGTTTTCTTGGGGAAAGAACTTACACAGAAAACAAATAATTGTTGCGGCATTCCCGCTCCAAGGATGCAGACCCTGTCTCCCCCATATTCTCTGAGACCTCAAGGGGACCCCGATTTCCAATCCTCCCCTTTTATCAGGTCAGGTCTGCACCTGTAACCACACCCAAAAGGCATGACGACTGTTACAGGTGCACAGGCACTGCTACAGTAACAGTTTCATAAGGGTTTTTTTTTTTTTTTTTTAAATAGGAACAGAACAAAGAAACTAATAAATTATGGCCCTTCAAATATATTGGTGGAAGCATGAAGTAGGCAAGTGACATCAAAGCAGAGAAGCCTCTGCTATAGGCCTCAGAGCCTATCTGATGATGTATTTAGCTCTGGGTAGGCAAGAGTTTATATATTCCAAAATTATATGCCTGGTAGTCACTTAGACTTTAGGACCAGAAAGGGGAGGAAGCTACAGGGTGAGAAAAAAGTGTGGACCCAGATAACCTCTCCATTGGGAGCTGTGTTACAGTCACTGCAGACACAAGTATGGTCAGGTTCTAGAGCAAGAGAAGCTACAGCCCCACCAGACAAAGCAGGGTGCCCACTCTTGAAGGTCTCCTGGGGAGGAGGGGAGGCTTAGGCTAATATGTGACCTGTATTGTCCAGGTGCCTGCTGCATAGGAGGAGCTTGCCAGGGGCAAGGAGTTTGATATGTGAGGAAGCAGCCACAGGGACTTCACAGACAGCAGTGCACAGTGGTGGATTTTTAAAAGGGCTTTAGATGCCCCAAGGTAGTTTGGCTCTGGGTCGGCAATAATCCAACCTTCTCATAACCATTGACATTTTGTTCAGATATCAGTCTTTTAGTGTTTAATGTAGGTGTGATTTCTTCTTGGGAATGTCAACTAACAAAATAAAGGGGTCCATCCAGTGACCCCCAGTCTGTCCTCCATTTAGGTTTTTGTCTAAATGGAGGAGGGTATGTGGTACATGTCATTAAGCAGTCTGGTCAAGCAAAGTGGGGCTCATCCATGACTGACCTGTGACTTGAAAGTATCTTAAGACAGTTGTTATGGCTTTGTTTTTATAATTCTGCTATAAAACATCCTGCTCTTTCCTTGATAAGTTCCTTTAAGGCAAGGACCATTGTTTTATTTACTTTTTCCCAAATTTCCAATTTTAATACCTAGGAATATATATCTAGTAGAATGGTTTGTGCTTACAGTAATAACCTATTACTAGAAGTGTTATATTGATTACTTGTTCTTTGCATGGTCTTAATCATATCTTAATAATTACTACCTGTTTTGGCTTTCTTGCAGAATGAGAAGGCTTTGGGACATTCCATGAGTCATTCAAGCAACATTTCTAAGGTAAAGTGGCACCAAAATACATTATTTTGTACCTTGGGACCTTTGCATGTATTAAAACTCTCATTTTTGAAAATGGGGGGGGGTTGCATGTGTGTACATGTTCCTGTGTGCATGCTAGTACATGTGTGGCCTCTGGAAGCCAGAGGTCAGCATCAGGTGTCTTCCTCTATTGCTCTCTATCTTAAGTTTTTTGAGATCAGATATGTGTGATGCAGCTCATTAATTCATCAAGACTAACTAGAATCTGATCTTCCTAAAGCATGGTGACAGGCGCTCTACCGCCTGAGCCCCTTCCCAGCCCTCTTTTCTCGATGCATTTCTATAGTCCACTCTGGGGCCATAGAAAGCTTGTGGAAGGTATAATTTTCCCTGAGGCAACTTTGAATGTGTGTCAGGGGATGTGACTTATAGAGAAACTCTATCCCCACCCCCTCAAATCATACTTTTTAGACAGAGAAATCTCAGGCACCAGAGTCTGTTTCTCCAATTAGGAATGTGTTTGGCTGGAAATGGGTTTATATGACTCAGATGACAAGATATCTGGCTGGAACTAAGTAGTCTAGAGTTGAGTTGTTCAGAGATCTATCTAGGCCCACTCTGCCTTTGTGGTCCACCCTCTTTACTATGTTGTCGTCATCCTGCTTGACCTGTGCTTCTACAATGCATCTGTCCCTCCTGCAGTGTGTTCCTGTAGATAGCTTTCTAGAAGTGCATTGCCTGCTAGGATCTGGCTCAGGAGACAGCAGCTTCCCACATGATCTTTCTCTGGGTAGTAATCTTAGCCCAGCATTGCTCTGACCCCTTGGCCATTAAGACATGATCTTGCAGATTACCTTGGGGTTTGAACCTTTCCCCATATCTTTGTCATGCAACCAAACGAAATACAGTCCTGACGGGAAGACTTGAACAACATAGCAAAAACCCGTCCTGCTGCCTCAGTACCTCTTGGGTCCTCTAAAATGAAGTTGTGGTGTGTTCCTTTGCTTTGCTTTACTTTGGGTTTTGAGAGGGGTCTCAACTGCTGCGTTAGCATTTCTCTTGCCTTCACTTCCAAAGTGCAGTCATAGGTAACACATCACTGCCCCTAGTGCGTGCTTCTTTTTCATTTAGATGTTATCTTTGTTTTCATTGAGGTCACCTTAGTTTCAGAATTCCCATTTTGGTAGGTTCATCTTTCAGAGATTTGTACAACCTTATAAGGGACTTTTTCAAGAGAAATTAATTCCCTCTGAATCCATTATTTGAGTTATGTGTGTATGTTAAAAAGCCTCTATTCTAAACCAAACCTTGAGAGAAGCACACTCCAATTGAGGTATATACTGTATAAGTTAAATAATGAATTTGTTTTATTCCATCTGCCAGGGGGTGGGGAGGATGACCATCAATTTTGAAGCATCAAAATTTTGAAGTAGGGGCTTCCAGGTAAGATGGCAGATTAGAAACCTCATACATTTGAAATTGTTGAAAAAGAATGGCCAGAGTAATACACTTGGTGCTAATTCTTTCAATAGCTACAAATGATTTTATGTAGCAGGTGAGATCTCTGCAGGGAAACAGGCAGGAGCTGGTGCCCAGCTATGCATGGGTTTGGCCAAGGTCAGTACGAACTGCCAGAAAGTGCTCCCCCGCCTCATGCAGGGTTAGCTGAACTGACCAGGGAATGGACATACCTTTGTCAGAGAGACCAGACCAGTGCAGACTCTACAACTCAGGACTAAGGAACTTGAAGCAAATTCAGCCCCATTGTGCATGGTTCCAGCTGAGGTCAGTAGGAGCTGCTATGCAAGGGTTTATAACCCCTTCTCTTACACACCAACATTACCGCACAACAGCCAGAGAGGGAGAAGAGGTGTGGAGGAGGCAGGACCAAGGGCTGGGTACACCATGAACACAGAGGGAAAGGCTGGGGATGGATGTGGGCCTGAAGCAAGGTCTCCTTGCATGCCTATGGGGACCAAGGAGCTGTCAGCAAGGGCTTTCACCTTCATCCTTTGCTCCATGCCAGTGATGGAGAGAGACAAGCTGTAGTGACAAAATGCATACATTAAACCACAGGATGGTATACCAGGAACGGATATTGTCAGGGCCAGTGGACTCTGAAACTGGAGGATGCACTCATTGTTACATGTACAGACAATGTGGGAACCACGAGCTATACAGCTGAACCAAGAGCTCTTTGGTACATGAAGTATCCATGGGAGGGAAGGAGTTCAGAACCCATCCACTGAAGAAGGAAGTACGCACTGATGTGATGATGTGCTTTTATTTATTATACATTTATTTCACTTAGCCCTGTTTGTTTTTATTTTGCTCTTTTTTACTATGCACAAATAACTCTTAATGGTCTTATTTTAGTCTTATATTACTTGGGTTTTATAATTTTTCTGTATGCTTAGTACTCTTTCTATTTTGTACTCTTTACTGTTCTTATATTCAGCCTATAGATACCTCTCATCCCTACCCCTACCCCATTTCCTTGTTCTTCTTCATACCCTGCTCTTTTTATTTCTCTCCCTCCCCCCACTCTCTGTGTGAATGCACATGTACCCATACATATTCATGTGTGAGTGAGGGTGCATATATGCACATATGAGGAGTCAGAGAACAATCTCATTTGTCAGTCTTCACCTTCCACCCTGTTTGCCTGTGAGCTCCCATGGTTCTCCTGTCTCTATCTGCCGTCACACCATAGGAACAGACATGCACTACTTTGTCAGTTTACATGGTTTCTGGGGATTCAAACTAGGGTTCTTGTGCTTGGACAGCAAGCACCTTACTCACAGTGCCATCTCCCTTGTTCCTCTACTTAACTGTAACCTTCTATATCATTAATCTTTAAATTCTGTGAACCCTAAATATATCTTGGCTTCTGTATTCCAGCTACCTTTCTCTCCTCAATGCTTTTCTCAGTAGACACAATCATCCCTATCACAATCCAGTCTGTTCCTCCTTTACTCATAAGGTTAGTAATATCTTCTTTTTCTCTCTTTCTTTTTGAGTCAGTCTCACTGAGTAACCCTGGCTTCCTGGAATTTACTATGTAGACCAGACTGACTTTGACCTCATAGTAACTGTTTACCTCTGCCTCCTGAGTTTAAAGGCATCTACCACTACACCTAGTAATTAATATCTTACCATATACCTTACTACCTTGTTCTTTTTTCCCAATAGTTATTGAAATTAGAAGGATGAGTTTTTTCTTTCTTTTTTAAATTTATATTAGAAACATTCTTATTTTATATATCAATCCCAGTTCCCTCTCCCTCCATTCTCCCATGCCCCCCACCAACCCCCATTCCACCCCTCTTCTGCTCCATAGAAAGGGTGAGGCCTTCTATGTGGGATCATCAACGTTTGTCACATCATTTGGGGCAGGGTCTAGGACCTCCCCCATGTGTCTAGGCTAAGAGAGTATCCCTCTATGGGGATTGGGCTTCCAATGTCCATTCGTACACTAGGTATAAATGCCATTCAATTACCAGGGGCCCCATAGACTGCCTAGGCCTCCTAACTGACAGGGGGCCTAGTTCCATCCTATGCTGGTTTCTAAGCTGCCAGTCTGGGGTCCATGAGCTCCCCCTTGTTCAGGTCAGCTGTTTCTGTGGGTTTCCCCAGCATGGTCTTGACCCCTTTGCTCATCATTTCTTCCTCTCTGCAGCTGGATTCCAGGAATTTGGCTCAGAGCTTAGCTGTGGGTCTCTGCTTCTGTTTCCATCAGCTACTGGATAAAGGCTCTATGATGAAGGATGAGTCTTTTAAACCTCAGTGATACCATATTTTCATGGTGGACCTCTTGAGTAGTTTTGATTCTACACTCTGAGGTAATGTAGGGGATTACACTTGGTTCCCAGAGGATGTAAACTTGAAACTTAGCTAGTGTACTACTACAAGTATACTAGTCCCACCTGAATCTTGCAAATACTAAAATTCAAAGAATATAGTCCGTAAAAAGCTAGCCATGGAAAGATTCCCTGATGCACAAGCCCTACCCACTGTAGAGATACAAGAAACAGGAAAGATGAAGATATATATCCCCTCTGATACATAGAAATTCCACAGTAATGAGTTCCAATACAAGTTAATTAGGTGAAATTCCAGACAAAGAATTCAGAAGAATAATTGTAAGAATGTATAATAAAATTAAAGAGGAAAAACACCTAAATTAACTGAGGGATGGATGAAATAAGGATATGAAAGAAGAATTAAATAAAACTATAGAAATACTGAAAAATTCTACTGAAATTTTAGAAAATTTTACAAGTGAAAAACTCAGTAGACAAAAATCATCAATGGAATGGATTGAGTGGACGTGAAGTATCACGGATGTATGTTAAGGTGGATGAATTAGAACATTCAGACATTGACACTAAAATAAAATAATAAAGTATAAAATACAGCATATATATTGTAAGTCATGGGGATAGAAGGAGAAATTGCCAGGCTGAAGGTATAAATACTGTATTTAGAAAAAATCAGCAGAAAATCATCCAAATCCAGGAGAAAAGATTGGATGACTCAGGGCATTTAGAGCTCCAGATATACAAGAGCAGAAGGAACCTCTCACTCCTCGCTACAGTTAGAACACAGAACCCACTGTTAGGACACTGAACCCACAAAACAAATTAGAATACTGCAGAGTGAAAGGGAAGTTCTGGGTAACCTGTGAAGTTACCGCCATCAGAATTGTTAGGTATGTGCAAAAGCTATCGTGGTTCCGGACTACCATTTTAAATCAGAGTAACTAGGCTCAAAAACATTTGTTTTAATCAAAACAGGAAGAATACAGACAACACTGTTATGAAAACACATATTGTACTATTAGCAATCTATAGACTCAATGCAGTCCCCATGAAAATTCCAGTAGAATTCTTCATAGAAATAGAAACAAAATCCTAAAGTCACATGGAAGCATAAAAGGCCCTGAGCAAAAAGAGCATCTTCAGGTTACACTATACATAGTAACAAAAACAGCGTGATACCAGCACAAAACATGTAGCTCA